TAATGAAAATTAAATCTGCCATTACACAATTTCTCCCATTTACCCTTCAGAGATGTCTTCTGTACCCCCAGGCATATATGTACCACAGTTTGGGAACTCCTGATCTAGGGGAATCCTCCCAGATTTGTTCTCCTGGTAGAAAAACTTACCCAAGACATCCCTGAACAGACATTTGACTGCTGAGCCCCAGAAGAGAAAAGAGCATACTTCTCAGCAGTCTCTGTAGGCTCCCCAGACTGCCTGAAGACAGATAGCAGCAGTACACAGGGAAGCCCTGAGCAGTCTGAGTGTCTCCCTGCAGCAAAATGTGGGGATTGTAAAGACGGTGTGGTCTACTCCTTACTCAGGTGGAGCAGTAGAGTCCAGCCCAAGTGACACCCTGTTTCCCTAGAGAGTGGGGTGACAGCCTGGGATGCTGGAAGACTGTGCAGTGGCTTTTCTCAGAAGGGAACACGTACAGACATTTGCTCTGCCAAAACAAATTCTGCCATGAATAATTTAATCCTAGTTCTTCCCAGGTTATTTTTTCCTGGAGTGGTTATTTTTGCTTTGGAAGAAAAATATGAGTAAAGCAGAAGAATCACTTCCTTGGTTTTGCTTGAGATGCATGCCATAGTATTGTTTGCCCTGCTGGCTACAGCATTGCACTGACAGCTCATATTTATACTATGATCTATTATTACCCCTAGTTCCCTTTCTGTCATGGTGCTAGTCACTTTGGCACCACTGAGCCTGTAAGTATGTTGGGGATTGTTTGTCCCCAGATAGAGCACTGGTTCTGACCAGTCTCCAACTTCCCAGCCTGTTTAGGTCCACCTGTATCTGCAGCCTATCTTCCAGCATGCCCACACTCCTCCATAACTTGGTGTCATCCACGAACTTGGTCAGTGAGCTTTTCATTCCCACATCCAAATCACTGATAAAGGTGTTGAAAAGCACTGGACCAAGCACAGACCCCTAAAGAACACCACTGGCCACTTCTCTCCGCGACAACACAGATTCGTTCATTAGAACTCTCTAGGCCTTACCCTGCAGCCAGCTTCCTACCGATCTAACTGCTAAGCAATTAAGCCTGCAACCCTCCAATTTTCCCACTAGAACATCATGGAATACCAGATCAAAGGCCTTTTGGAAGTCTAGGTATACAATGTCAACCTCCTCTCTCCTACCCAGGTGGTGAGTTACCAGGTCATAGAAGATGAGATTTGGAAGACAAGACCTACCCCTAACAAATCCATGCTGGCTTTTATTCAGAATTCTACCTCCTGCAAGCCTATTGCCATAGACTCCTTGATGAATTTTTCCAGGATTTTCCCTGGGATAGAAGTTAGGTTAATTGGACCACAGTTGCCCAGGTCCTCTTTCCTCCCCTTCTTCAAGATTGGCCCTCTTCCAGCCTTCAGGGACCTCCCCTGAGCATGAATTTTGGAAGTTTTGCCAAAGGTCCTGTGATGACTTTGGCCAGCTACTTCAGTACTCTTGGATGAAGTTCATCTGGTCCTGCTGACTTATAAATGTCTAACTTTTCTAACTGATCACATACCAACTCAACGTCAACAGTAGGAAGGCGGTCATTCCCACTGTGAAAGAAGCAGTAAAAGCTCCTCTAGTGGGTCCCAGACCCCCACCCCATGCGCCCCAATACTCACCACAGAAGCCCAAATGAGCAGCAGCTGGGTGGAAACGCGGACCCAGGCTCCGTGATTCGAGTTCCCTGAAGCTGCAAATCAGTGAGAGACAGTGGCAGAGCCTCAAAGAGATGTGGGCTGCTCAAAGACCAGCTGGGAGAGCAGCTGAGTGGCCAGCGGGGGAAGAGTAAGACGCCATCCAGGAGATGCCGGCAGCCGAGCAGAGGATCACCCAGCTGGAGAGCAGGCAAGAGGAGTGGAGTGGCAACCGGAGGGCTCTGACATGGCATGGAAGAAACCCAAGCCTGGGGAGCCAAGAGACGCCCAGGAGTGACGCCACAGCCCCACCAGAGAATACAGGTACGGCGGCTGGGGACACCTTCAGGGAGCTGCTAGCCCTCACAAGCAACTCAGCAGGAAGGAAAGAGCAGCCCAGCGTGGGAACTGCACACCCCTCCCACTCAGGAGAAGCAAGAAGCAACTCCAGATCAGCAGGGCTCTGGAGGCGGTTGCACTGGGAAGGAGGATTGGGGAGGGGCACAGGGCAGCTCCCCACCCCCATAATCACTAGGACGGAAGGGACAAGCAAGTCCCCATTTTTTCTTTCTCCTTTATTTTGCGTGACAAGCAGACACTGGGAGACAGGAGCCCAGGGGTCTGTCAGTGGATGCCGGATGCTTTCTGTTAGATTCATTTGAAGTCCTAGTCAGCCCTAAGGCAGGGTGGGTTTATGTACCCAAGTCGGCCTGAAGCTGAGGAACTGGCTGTGGGGGAAGATTGTACTGGCCAAGAATTCCTGACCCATCCCAGAGCGGGCAACCTGGGTGAAAGGAGATATCATCCAGAGGAAGACCTGCAGAGTGTAGCGTTTAGCCATGCCGTGGACGTGGTAAGGGTGGGGTAAAAGGGAGGTTTAGAGCCCCATGAAGAATAGACTGGGGCCGAGACCTCTTCGCTTTGGGGGCCACCTGAAGGGAACTGCCTTCCCAACAAGGAACATCAAAGACGTAGCAGGAGAGTAGGAGCAGCACCCATATCATCTAGGTGGCACCTGAGCCCAAGTCTCACCCTGACGTGACTTGGGAGCAAGGCACTTATCAAGAAGAGGCCAAAGCCCTACTACACCTACAAGCAACACCCACCATGACCATTTTATACCCTATCAAGTATGATTTTCCCTTTAGTCCTGTGAAATACCGAAGGAAGGCAGTCATTCAGGAGTTCAGTTTTCTCCATAGTGTCGGTAACTAGCCGTCCTGAGCTGTTAAGCAATGGCCCCACACTTTCATTTGTTTTCCTTCTATTCCATACATAGTTATAGAAGGACTTCTTACTGTCCTTGATTTCTGTTGCTAGTTTAAATTCAGTCACTACCTTAGCCTTTCTAATCTGCTCCCTACAGGTGTGGGCCATTGTTGTTTAGTCCTCCTTGGGGACTGTCCCAAGCTTCCATTGTTTGTATGCCTCTCTCTTCTTTTTCAAGAGGACCATGATATCCCTATGAAGCCAAGGGGGCTTCCCAGCCCTTCTGCTACCTTTCCTTCACATGGGAGTGGACTTCTTTTGTGCTTTGAGGATCATGTCCTTGAGGAACAACCACTCTTCATGCACTTCTTTCACCTAAACACTCACAGTTAAGTGTCTCTCACCTTGCCCCCCCTGAAGCTTGACCCAGAGGGTTTTGAGCTGCTCATCTTTGGAGCCAATGTCAGCCTTCAAGGAGGTATATTGCTCCCTCACATAGAGAGCTACACCTTCACCTTTCTTCCCTACTCGGTCCCTTCTGTGCAGGGTGTAGCCCTCTGTGGCTATGTTCCAATCATGTGAGGGGTCCTACCAGGTCTCCATAAGCCATACTAGATCATAATGCCCACCACAGCTGGGGAATACCGACAGTGCCTGAACACTCACTTACCTGTAGTGTTGAAGCCGGAGACCCGTCCTGGGCCAGGTAGCCCTGGTAAGCTGGAGGATGCCGCAGACGACCAGACACCTGGGAAAGGAAATCCAGGTATCAGCACAGGAGTGACCACAATAGATCAAAGGGTACAGACCCGATCATAACCCCACCCACGTGGGATTTCATCAGCAGGTACACCTAGGGTAGCCAGGACAGCAAGACGGCAGCCCAAAAGACATCAGCAGGACCGACTGACGGTAAGAAACAACCTGAGAACCCTTTTGGTTCTTTCCACAGCATTTGAGTGGTTATGGATCCAAAATCCCCCAGTGGTAAAGTATCAGGACCATAACGGTCATGTGGGCATTAGAAAACACCCCACAGGATACTGCAATATGTGGCCAGGTGCCAGCTGACCCAGAACATTGGTTCTCCCAGGATATACCCAAAATGGGGGACCATACAAAGGACACCACGTGCAGCTTGCAGCACAAAAGAGAAGCACCAAATGCAGTGAGTATCGTTCCCTTGCTCGCTTGCGTCACTCAAGCAATATCAGTTCTGGTATTGTTAAGTTCCCAGTTTATCAGTTGGAGAGGCCATAACTACATTCCTGCCAAGAACCATGAGGGCAGGCTTTTTGTGGGAACAGATGGTGTCTGCAGCACACCCAGATACCACTGAGACCAAACCAGACCACCCGACCAGGAAGGGCTGGGATGTAGAGGATAAGCCTCACAAAAGCAGTACCAGATGAAGCACCTGAGGTCATAGAGAAACACCGGACAACACCTTCAGGTAGAACCGCAGGTAACATCAAGTCATGGCGGATGAGTAGACCATGGTGCAGCATGCCCCAGTGGGCAAGGTATGCTAGAAGTGGTGTTGCAAGCATCGGCCTGCCACAACCACCTATGACCTGCATATTTTTCCTTTATAAGACTGTAGGTCTTTGATTCTTGCTATATTAAAAGTATGTTTGAATACACCAAGTTTACCAAGACAAAAATGTCTGCTCTACGCATGATCCACACATTATAATTTACAAACCGCAATTTTGCCTATCACATTGAATATGCTTCTCCAGAGCACTGCTAAAAATATCAAATAACTTAGGGCTGAGAACCAAGCCCTACAGCACATTAGTATAAACACCCTCACCCTTGCCAATTAACAACTACATTTCAAGATATCGTTTTGCTAGTTTTATAGGTAGGTCCTCTATTGATTTTTAATCTTTAGATAAGATTCTGTTTGGCACTCAGTTAAAAGCCAACCTGGAGGCTTTATTTCAAAAAAGAGATCAAAAAGCCAGGAATAGCCAACAAAAACGACTAGCTAAGACACAACTTCCTTCTACTTGAAGATACCTTCTATAAACTGTAAATTACATACCAGGCTTAAACCAGTTTGTTTTCTCACTGTTCCTCTCGCACTGTTCGAGTGAATACCATAAATACTTTAATATGCGTAATTCCCAGAAATTGTATATATTATATGGCAAAGTCAGTAGCCTAAACTGGTTGGACAGCCTTACAGAGGAACCAGGTTGAAGATCAACCCCACAATTCTCATACATCCTCTATCACCTTGATTACTTTGTTGCATAGGAAAATTAAGAGTAAGAATATTCCAACATAAGGGGTGGATGAAGGCTTTGCAGACTTGTTAAGAAATATGAGGCAAACCCGCCTGTTTTTTCTTGCAAGATTTCTACTACAGCCTTGAGGTGGGTTTGATATGGAGAGAGCACCTTAGGAACAATGAAACATTGACTTTGCTATGCAGCTAGTAAGAATTTGCTGGATTCTTGTACTAGTCTGCCTTGCAAGAAGTTCATGTTTCTAGCTTTGCTATGAGCTGATTAATCACAAAGAAGCCATATGAGGCTTTCTGTTGAGGAACTAGACTTTTACTAAAATATGGCTCATTGAAGTAGTGAGAGAGGTCAGAAAACCAGTCTGCTTTTTGGCACACTATTTAGATTAGATACAACTGCAAGCTAAGATATTTGCCTGTCCTTGAGCCCTTATTGCTGACTGGAATGCCTAGATATGTTGTAATTGGCCCACATATAATTAATACCTTTGTTGTTGATACATTTTGCTATGCATGACATGTTACTACCACTTTTTAGTTGGTTATCTTCAGGGAAGGAGAACGGGGTCTGTTGACCTCAACCCAAAACTGCTTAATCTTGTTTTCCTTTAAGAGAAACAGAGGCATTAGTTGCTCCTCCCTTTTTTGCAGTACCAGTACTTGGAAAAAAATTTTTGTTGGTATGCTTCTCTACATATTAGCCCTTTCACACTCTAAGGACAGTGATTCTCACCCAGGGTGCTGTAGCATTCACAGTTTCCTTAAGATCCCTTCAAAGGTGACATGGGGTGCCACACAATTTTATCACTTTTAGGCATGCAAAAATGATTCACAAGATAAACCCAGATATTTCAAACAGGAATCCATAGTGTTAAACATATTCTGCCTTCTTATATTCCAGAGTACTCCGCAACAGAAGAATTGCTCTATTACAGCAGTTCCCAATCTGCGATACAAGTACCACCAGTGGTACGCAGATAATCTGTCAGTACTATGCGTTAACAGATGTATTATAATTACTTTATATCACAAAAATTTGCTGGTGGTACTTTCATTTTAAATTGGTGGTGTGCAATCTTTCAGAGTTTGGGAACCACTACTCTATTAGTTATCCAGAAACTAAGCTGGGGAATAGAGTTGGGATACTAATAAAAAAAAACAAACTAAAAAAATAGTAAAAAGTAGTAGTAGTTTCCCTACTAAAAAATAAATAAATTAGCTAACCTAGCTTTACACTAGGTTTGCTGGGGAGATGGAGACCAAAGCCCTGAGGTAGGTGGGGAAGTGGGTCACCTGGAGGAAGCAGAAGCAAAAAGGGGAAACATGGGAGACTTTCTCATTCTTTCTGAGAAACTAAGACAATCAGGTAGTTACCTCAAATGCACGGAGCCTGGAAAACAAGGAGGAAGAATCAGAAGTCCTCACACATGCATGGAAATATGATGTGATTGGAATAATAGAGACTTAGTGGGATAGCTTGCATGATTGGATGAGTATTAATCATGGATCAGTATACACTGTTCAGGAAGGGAAGAAGAAGAGAAGTTGTTTTTTATGTAAAAGGGCTGTATGGTTGCTTAGAGGTACAGTATCAGTATGTAACTGGAGATATGCCTGCAAAAAGTTTCCGAGGACAGCAACAAGGTTGATATTGTGATGGGTGCTTCCTATAAACCACCAGCCTAGAAGGATGAAGTGGATGAGGCTTTCTTCAAACAGTTAGCAGAAGTTTCCAGATCACAGGCTCAGGTTCTTGTGCAGGACTTCAGTCACCCTGGCATCTGCTAGGAGGGTAACAGCCATACACAAGCAATCCAGGAAGTGTTTGAAGAGCACTGGGGACAATTTCTTGGCACAAGTGTTGGAGAGGCCAACTAGGGGCTGTGCTCTTCATGATCTACTGCTCACAGACAGAGATGAATTGGTGGGGAATGTAGTAATGGATGGCAATTCCCAATTGGTGGGGAATGTAGTAAAGAACTACAGGTTAGGGACTATTTAGAAAAGCTGGGTGCATATAAGTCCATGGGGCCCAGGGGTCAGTCCTGGGGCCAGTTTTGTTCAATTTCTTCGTCAATGATCTGAAAGATGGGATGAAGTGCATCCGTAGCAAGTTGGAAGATGACACCAAGCTAGGCAGAGTATTAGATAAGCTGCAGGGTAGGACTAGGATTCAGAGACCTAGACAAATTGCAGGATTGGGCAAAAAGAAATCTCATGAAGTTCAGTAAGGACAAGTCCAAAGTCCTGCACCTAGGACAGAAGAATCCCATGAAC